AAGAGAGGAAGTGAAAAAAGAAAAAGCAGAGTCAGAAGAAGAAACAGGGGCATAAGATGTGCCTTAACAATTCGAGAAAAGAGCTTACTTATACTCGAGAGCGAAATAAGTATAGATGGAGGAAAAAGAAAGTTTCTTATTCTTATGAAACTGGTCTAAAGTGCACCCGTTGAACATTATTATCGAGCAAAGAAAATTTTCCCGATATTCACAGTAACAACTGTGCGCGTACATATAGCAGCTAAGGAGCTTAAATAAAACTTATCCTCCTCCCTTTTCGCCTTCTTCTTTAGGCTCGTGTAATGCGTAATATCCATTTCGCATGATATTTCGGCGTGTGGCGAGGGATCGTGCGATAATATTCAATATCATGTCTCCGCCTCCCTGTACACGGCTAATCATCATAGCGTTGGCCAGCTCGGCTTCTGTGTATATCCAACTAAGACAATAACCGGTGTATAATTTGGAGGTTCTCAGTTTGAGGCCAGAAATGAAGAGAAGAAGATGAGAGGGAGAGCAGGTGGTAACAAAGCATCCGCTCTGCTAGTATAAGGAAAGAGAAAAAAGGGAAGACGTTACTGGCTCGATTTTTGCAAAAATAAAACACAACGTGGTTCCATGTCTGATAGCTCGAGTAGGTTGGAAATTGCGCACGTGCGAGAGCTTTTGCATTTAAATTACAGAATGTAACATATGAGACTAGCCATACGTACATTATACGTATATATCTATTCTCTCCATCGAATATTTGTCTTTTCTTTGCAGACTAGACATTAGACAGAAGAAAGAGGAAAAATAGCGATCCTTTCTTCGAAGGTTTAATATGGCTCGATATAGATATGATCGAATATTTTATACAGCGCCGAGCTAGTGAAACTGCGCATCTCGTTTATTTTTTTCTCTCTCCCCTCTCTCCCTCTCTTCATAGATTATAAAAGGTATACTGATTGTATGTGTACTCGCGCACAGAAGCAAAGGGGAAGTTGGTTATAATATGTTGTTCGCAAGACTCCTGCTTCTGAGTTGTAGGGCGCAAGCATACCGTAAGAGGATGTATATTTGCTCTTGGCACATATGAGCTCTCTCTTTCTCTCTTTCTCCTCGAGTATACATGTAACGCGTACATGTACTTAGTCTGTCAGTATAGCGTATGCTCATGCGAGTGTGCGCGAGAAATTTAGATACGTATTATCTATTTTTATTCTTACGCTTCGGCATCTTTACTTTGAATATACACAGGTGTCTGCTAGTCAAGGAGTTTTGGCTGATATTTTTGGCAAGATATAACAATTACTTCGATCAATGAACGAGTAAGAAATGAAGATAATTTTTTTATAACCTAACCGTATAGCTGAAATCGGCGCAAAATGTTACTACAATTACAGTTTTTAACTTGGAAGGGAACACATGCAGGTATAGATATAAAAAAAAAACACAACGAGTCGAAAGAAAGAACAAGCAGCTGCTTCATTTAACGCCGACGAGCACCGGGCATACTACTGGCCTGCTACTGGGGTGCAGAGACGCACCAGTCTCAATGTCTGACGCGTGCCACGCGTCAAATCGAATCAGACCAGCTCTCTTTCGGCAGGCGTGAATTTTTTTCTACGATTTCTCTCACTCTCTCGTCTCTCCCTAAATTATCAAAGCTTCGTCCTCCCTTTTTTTGGCTCTTTGACTTGTAAAAATCCAATATAAGCCAAACTGATCGCTGCTACTGCTGCTGCTCTCGAATCGTGATGGACGATTTTTCACGAGTTTCAATCAAGCATCCTCCTGGCGCATAAACTGCATGGGCTACCAGTGCCGACGTTCGTACATCCCGATCGACGTCGTTGATGAAAAAGAAGCACAAGAAATGCCTACTGGCGCTGATGGTTGTATGACTGCGTAGAAGATCATTATATTCATAGCGTTGCGATCGGAGCCTTGTAACGCGTGTTTGAAGTATGTGCCCAAACACGTAGACTACATGCGCGGGTGCCTGCAGATAGACGAGTCCGAAAAGTCTGTCTAATCAACGAACACATTGCACGATTGACCAAAGAGCTTGAAGCGAACGCGGAACAATCAGTTGGGCAAGAGGTTCGCAGCCATGAAGCTCAGAGGTTAATATTCGGCCAGGTGTCAGTTTCATAGGTGCAACGTCAATGCGGAAATCAGAGCCGGACAAGATGAGATGCTTTTGCAAGCGCAAACATAAACGCGGATAGAGGTTGGTTGCCTCTCGTTGGCACTCTTGCAAGTTGCAGGGCATATCTCTTTTCTACACATACATAGGAGGTGCACACACGGTCGATGAGGTGCGCGCTCGGGGCTTCTCGCGTAATTGGCCGCGAACGATGCGCTCGTACACCCATCCAGATACAAACGTTCTCTCTCTCTCTCTCTCTCTCGTGCGCACGCTTTTAATTAAAACTCAACGAGGGACTTGTGCTGCGCTGCTGTTGTGTTGTCGCATATATTTCAGGTGCATATCCTACGCACGCCCATACGTCTATCTCGAACTCCTCGTTCTCTCACTCGACTTCTCCTCTTTGCGCACGATTCTACTTATTTCCGTTCGTTCGGAATTTATTTGCCACGCGTTTGAGCTTATACGCGGCAGAGTACGCATGCATGAATTACAGCAAGCACTTTGAAACTCGGTCGCAATCGTTTATCGTACAGCGAAATTCTAAGTAAATGAAAAATCGATAAAAATATTTTTGTTAGAATAAACCACCAGTGCGTGTGAGACGAAGAGAAATGATAATCAAAGAGCAGGTAAGGGAGAGAAAAATAATTTCATGCTCCTTAAATTGATAGGAGATAGAAGAAAGTCAGCAGAGTATTGTGAATAGGCTTTTATAGGCTCAATAACTAACGAATGATGAGCGAATTGGCGGAACGTATAAGCCGTCAAGCAGCAGAGGGACGAGAATGAATGTCAATCATGTAGCTTCCAAGTAATGCTGGAATAATATCGAACAGCATTGGCCGAAATTGTTTTGCAATTACAATATTATGTAATATTGTATAAAAATATAAATGAATAGCTTTTAATGCCAATGCTATGTATATGGGTGATGGTCACGAAAAGGTCGTTTTTGATGTCCCACCCGCAGTTGAAAATCGTGAATCGACTGGAATATGCGGAATAGTTAGATATTAATTATTTTTAACTTTTTCATGTATTATTGGACATTAAAAAATCATATTATGCCACCTGCAGCTTAAAAACAGTCGAAAATATCTTTGTCGTCACGCATCCAATTTTAAGAATCATTCAAATATTGTGCCATAAAACTGAATTTTTGCATCTGCGTGTCATTATAAGTATGGATATTTATACTTAAATATAAGTACTTTTGATATTTCCATGTCCAGCAGTGATAAAAATCATTTAGCGGTCATTATAGCAGTTTAAATAACGTCCATGGAAAATGTTCGATTTTGAGCCCAAAAGACAAAATTTCCAAGAAACCAAAAAAAATTCGTCTCAGTACGATCAAAATAGAGGAAGATAAATGCATTTGAAAATTGATTGATGCAATAATTTTGTTACGGAGTGTATTTTTTATGATTACTATCCCTCTTGATGTGCTTGATGTAACTTGATGTAGTCCTTCATTGATAATCAAATTCTAGGTACAAATACGCTTAAAATGAGGTATTATACATGGGGTAAATTTTAAAGCCATGTGCAATCTAAAAACGCAGTGAAAAAACGACCTTTTCGTGACAGTCACCCATATTATTTTATTTATATAAAGGTACACCGGAATGCTGCAGAAATTATACATACAATCGTAAAATGATGAGGTTTTTATGCGTCATTGGGTGCACCGTTAGAGACAAGATTTCTGAAGTAACGTAACGTTTATCGGTGCCTGATACAAGGCATTATACGTATATCGGTTATGCATTATTTTATTCTTGGAGCGTAAATTAAAGTACTTTGGTTAGAATGCGCATTGAGAATTATTCGATGGCGCAATCATTGAATGAAAATGGAAATCTCCGAATCCGTAGAGATGACTAGAGCTCGGTGTCTGTAAGTAAGAGCCTTTATCAGCTCAACCAACTCGTCACACAGAACGTTCATATAGTAAACGATTAGCTCTAGCTGCAATGGACTTTTCTTCGAAACACATTAAGTTTACATATGTACAAACATCTTGTGAAAAATTATCTAAACGGAAGCCTATCTCTTGTAATCATTCCGAGGACGTTTTACGCTTTCGAGTTCTTGAAAATCGAGAGAGTTGCCGCTGCATTAGCTACTCGTGCCGGTGTTGCCGTAGCGTCGCACTGTTATCGCAACCGTCCTGGGCCCTCTTCGGTCGGGAAGCACATTATTTCAGAGCGGAAAGCGCGCCATAAAACAATCCGAATAATCCGAAAGTTCTGGGGTAGGGGTGGCCGCGTTGACACTTTACAAAGTGGCCTACTCGTGGAAAATTCTTGTTTTCACCGAATGTGCATATTACATTCGCGTGCGAAAGATCTAGCTTGTTGGAGTCAAAATACGCGAAGGAGTTAAAAGATGCCGGTTTAAACATACATACAGCCAGCAGAGAGTTGCATGCACGTAAAGCCGCTCAAGAATGACGCCGAAAAAGCCAACAGAGCTCGCACGAAGCTCATTACCACGTTTACTTATTCGTAGTCACTGCTTGTTATGTACTCCAAGTACACACATTCACACATGCTCGCGAATGTAGTAGACGGATACTCGGCAGACTCTCCCCGCTGGGTACTGTAAATCGAGTTCCTGGCGGTCGCTCACTTGCCATTTGCCAGCAATGCGTACGTCAGTTTCCCCTCCGAATTTTATGCCTTTACGAGCCAAAATCCCGCGCGAAGCGATAAATCCTAAGCCCTTCTACCTTGTCATATTTCCCTCCCGAGCGCGATGCGAGTGCGATGATCGTAAAAAATATTCACGAAAAACCGAGACTCTCGGTCGACAAAAAGACAACATTAAACCTGCGTAGCAACGAGTCAAAAGTACTTACTTGATTTCGGATATCTCCTCGTAGATGTTCTCTTCGGTGCCGTATCTCGTAACGTAAGTGTGCCTCTTGTGCGGATTCGTTCTGTATTCCTGCAGATCATAGTCCTGCAGCGCGGAGTAAGCCGAGACAAACTGAGGCGAGTTCGGAGCGCTGCTCTCTGAACGATGACTCGGCTGCATTTGCTGTTTTTGCAGCTGCTGTTGCTTTTGTTGGCTCGGAGGCTGTTGCAGCGGCGGTGCCTGCTGGATCAGGTGAAAGTCCTGCTGGCAATATTCCTGCGGCGTCGCCCGGACGTTGGCGGCCGAGGAGCAGGACTTGACGGGCGACTGCACGAGACTCGAGACAGCCCCGGAGCCGACCCCGGCTTCGTAATAGGCGTAGCTGTAGTCGTGCACCGAACGCGGCGTGTGGTGCACCAGCACCCGATGCTGATAGACATTGTGATGGTTGTGCTGTTGCTCGCTTATGATGTCCGTTTGCTCGTCGAACAGTACTTTGTTGTTTTTGGCGTTGCCACGAGGCGGTGGATACGGCGGCGGTGGCGGGAACTCGAGATTCGCCAGTCGGCCGGTGGCGTTTTGCAATTCGACCGTGGCCGACGCGCTGGCGCCGGCTGGTGCTGCTGCTGCTGTTGCCATGTCGATGCCGATACCGACGATGGCCGAACAGATGATTTCTGCTACGCTCTTGCGGTCGATGCTGCCTTCGTTGCTGCTGCCTCGATTGATGACCACCGGTGCGTGCTGCCCGGCTGCATCGTCACCAAGGCTGCTTTTCCCTTATGATCTGTCAACGAGAAAGAAAATTCAAATTACCTCGTGTCGCTTGCTGAAACACTTACATAGCTACATCAATTTTTGAGCATAAAGTATAAACTGCAATTTAGTGAGTCGCTCTGTGCGGTGCGGCGCGCTGCCGGTGAGGTGGTCTTAAGAGCTTGGAAGTCACCGAAGCTCGTCGTTCGCGTGCACGGAGGCATAGAGTGTTTTCGTCGTAACTTTTTGAGTGCGAAACTAGCGAATGGAAAATTGAGTTTCGCTATCGCAGCGTTTTCTTGAAAGGTCGATTGAGGAGTTGTAATTAGAGCGGCTCGTGTCGAAGCACAAGAGATTCGAATGCGAACGAGAGGGCGGAAAAAACCGGAGGAGGAGAGTCAGTAAGATGGAAACCGTTGGACTGGCTTTTAAAGATTCGAAAGAAAGAGAGAGAGAGAGAGGAACGTGGTCTGGTTTGGTAGCTCGAACGAGCTCTGCTAAAACCGATGCCGGGGTTTCAATATTTTTTATTCGAGCGCACGGTCCATCAACAATCGGCTAAAAATAAACGTCTTGAGAAAGAATTGCGATAAAAGAGTTCGATGAGAAAAACTTCTCGAGACCGCCGACGAGGAAGATGAGAAATATTTTTCGTTATGTTGGCTTGCATTTAGCTAGCTCTTCGAGTATCGAGAACAAAATGACGAATGCACTGATACGCGAGTTTCCGTTTCTTTTGTTCCGTTTCTTTTTCTTTCCGTCTTACCACGTCTCTCGTTGCCGAGCGATATGAATCGCAGAAAATCCAACCAAGGGATTCGATCGAAATAATCCATGACGGACTGAAATTAAAAATGCTCGGGATGCGCGCGATGTTGTGACTGACTAGCCACTCATCCATTATCGCCGTATAATAATGCGAATGCGCACAGATATATCCAATATATAGCTCGAGGGTACGATGGAAAGAATACACGTCACGCGTTGCGTGTACGAACACGACGCGAATACGTCATAATTAAATAGAATATGTATACGCGTAGGTATTTTAATACCCGTTAAACACATAGAGTGCACATGCGCGCATGTATAGTATAACACTTGGGCTAATTGTGCAGGCACGCGAAATGCTTCTCTCCGTATATCGGAACAATATTTGATCATATAAGAGGAAGGCGCGCGTGACTCTGTCAAATATTAGCTAGAGCTCGAATACAAAATAGGCTTTTACTGCGCCAGCCGCACGATGTGCCTCGGCGCGCGAGCAGAGTCAGCCGCTGCAGAGCTCGAGAGGACCTAGAGGGAATTCGCGCACGGAACAAGGTATTTACATTGAAAATTACGACGATGCCGGGTACACTACGTTCGTCTACTCTCTGGATTGTAGCGCGATACTCTTGCTCCGTCTCCCTCGCTCTCTTCTTCCAGCTCTGCCAACTCGAGAGCTAAGATGGCAGTCGTAGATAAATTAAACGTATTGCTTTAATACGCAATGTTTACTCTATGCGGTGAATACCCAACTGCTGTACTAACTGCATACGTATGCCAAGCTTATACTGCTATATAACAATACAGTCTGCTGCACAATCTCTCGAAATAATTTTTTTACTGCCTAAAATTATAAGACTGATTATGGACGCGGTAAAGCAATTACTCGCGCTCGCGCCCAGTTGAGAAATATCTTTTATTATTCAAATACTTTTCCGAACGAATTATCTGACTTTGCTCCGTGATTTCAGTCTACGGGCGCAATTGGACTTTTAATAATGTCGGCTTTTCTAATCTTCAAACGCGCCGAGTTACTGCTACTAGCGTGCGCGAGTGCGCAAAAAATGCAAAATCGTATCGTATCGCATATCACCATGTATGCGTGTACATAATGAGCGCATGTACGAAAGAATTTAAATATCTCATTTCCGCGGACTATACCATTTTTCCTGTCGCAATTCTCGCTAAAGAGTTCTGATTTTGTCAGCGATATTTTCCTTCTTTCTCTCTATCTCTCTCTCTCCCGAGACTTGAATTCATTCCTGAAGCTGACTGCTCATGATTTTATCAATTGAATTTTGTCAAGTTTGCGTATATTTTGCATACATGACAAGAACGCGTTTAATTTTTACTTGAATTTCTTTAGGAGAAGAACGCTCACTAATGTATCGTTATAGTATGATTTCTCCCCGACCGAGGTTGTACCTACAAATACAAAAACCTGAGGAGTATTCGACAACAAAAGTATACATTTTTCTCGGACGTTGCTCGTAAAATAAGATCGCAAAAAAGCATCGTTCCCATGAATGAAAGAAACCACTCATCACAGTCTGCTATATATATATATTTTTTTTATTAAATTTACGTTTTTATATATTTATATCGATCACTGAGCAAAAACCAAGATAAATATTGGACTCGAATAACTAGAAAAAAGAGAGAGCGTCATAACGAGTTGAACGAAAAGTATGGGTCTCGCATATTCCACGCAACTATCGATCTACGACCTGGGAGTATCGATACCAAGTAAGCAATTTATATAGTTTATTAGCCAGATCGCACAATGTCGATGATACTTATCAGCCCTGCAGTTCTTTTCATCGTCCCTTGGACAATTCCAGATTGACACGACGGCGTCATTACCCATTTACTGCCAACGTACAAAGCTCAGCCCCGTTCCGAAATATATATAACTTAATTTTTCAAACTACATCGCAGGCAAGCACGGTGATGTTTTGTAAAGCATTCGCTAACAGGCCTGAATCGTTTGTACCCTGAGTTATACCTATAAACAAGCAGCGGACAACAAAAGAACTGGATTCCCCCTTGCATTATATTCCTCAAAGCTAGTTGTATCTTTATAAAGAAACTATTAACCTCCGCATGATAGGTATACACTACACGTAAATGCGATGCGCCGAAATAGGGGATAGAGCGGGCGGCACGGGCGACGAATAATCTACCGGCGCTATCTCGAGTGACAGCCACGCGATCGTCGGCTAATAAGTGTGGGTAACAAAGAGTCATCATTCGCAGCGCGCGAGCGATGATTGAGCGTGATTATTAATACGCTGAATGGCTGCAGCGAGGTACAATAATCAGGCGTGTGAATACCAATTTCAGCTGCAGTGGCCTGAGTTGAGTAACGCGCGAGATGAACTATAAACTATAAATATAACGGCGCAGAATACATCTGACGACCGCCTGCGGTTGATTCTCGTATATCATTTTTTTTTCTCCGCAATCGTTGTGTCGTTGTATAGTCTTTAACACCCGGGGCTGACGCTGCACGCAGTAAGCAACGAGCCGAGGAAGAGAAAAAACAAGCGAGAAGGATGACGATGTCAATGACTGCGAACGTTCGCGTTGGAATATAAGCAAGGCCCAGAAGCGCAAAGATGAAACTGTACGAGGGCATAGAATATCAGTCTTTTTAAATTTAACGAGAGGAAAGGTGACATTTCTCTTTTGCTCGCTTGCATGTGACGTGAAAAAGCTCCAAGCAAAACTGACGTTGACGAGCAAGCAAATTTGATGGCTCGTTCGAAACGAGCTGATCAGCCGGACAATTCACTCTCGTAGTAATGAATTTCTGATTAAGTAATGTTTTACACATGCTTATAGCTATACTTCGAGCTTGTTTAAATATATATGTGCAGAAATTTTATAAAAAAAGTCCTTGAAATTCTAAGCATAAACCTCGATTAAAATTTTTGTCACTTAACGTATATAATCCACGGTGATAATCGTTTGTTAAGATCCTGGAATCATCATCATAAATATGATTATTTATTCCATATTTAGCACAGCCGAAATCATTGAAAAAATTTTTTCATTCCTTTATTCGCTTTGATTTATGGAATAACGAAAATCAAGTAGGATTTGAAAAGTGAAATAATTAGTATTATTTCAAGCAAATGTTAAATTATTTATGCGCCAATTAAATTATTTTCACTTAACAACTATCAACGTGACGAAAAAATTTTATAGAATCAAAGAATACTTGAATTTTTGAATTTGTTCAGAATTGACAAATAAACAATAATCAAGTTGATTACACGCTTCAAGCGAGAGAAAATTTCAATCGTGATCTTAGCCTCCAATTTAAAGGACTTTTTCAGAGAATTGCTCATATATATTTTTTTTGTTGATGAAAAACGAGAATTACTATGTATGAAAAGAACACCAAAATCGCTCATGGTTTAATTGCTTCTCCCATTTTAACAATGACGCATCGGCCTATAGTATACTTTTGTTCGAAGTTAAGGCAACATTAGCTTATAAAAATTTATTTTTGTAGAGAATATGTTCGAGTGATATATTTCAATTTCAATATTTTTGTCAAATTTTAAATGTATAAAATTGTACGTCTTCAATTTTCTCGTAATCAAACTGAGCTGGTATAATCAAAATCTTGGAACTAGTTGGATTCATTTCTAACGAAACTTAAGGTGCCTTGTGCTAATTTAGTATCAAGTTAAGCCACGTCCAAATCAAGTAATAAATATTCAAATCGCCTTCACGTGTTCGAACGTAATTTAACCAAAGACAAACATCGCGCTAGAGCGGATGTGGTCCTTTGAGAACAGGGTCCGTAAAAGAAACTACTATTTGGTCTCTCTCTCTCTCTCTCTCTCTCACTCCTTCTTACTATATCACGTTTCCATGCAGCTGCTTATCAACACTGCAGCACTGGCAGAAACAGAGTATTTGCGCAAATAAATTAAAAGTGCGGTGTTATTATTCAATTAGTAAAGATGGGGAGATTCCTTTTCTGAGTGACTATGGTAATATGGTTCGAATAAACTGGCGAGCATGCGAGGTACATTGGTCAACGCGCATTGCACACTGATTGCACCTGTTAGAGCATAGGGCGGTACTGAGCAGCATAACTCGTAGCAAGATTGAAAACGAGCGCGCAGAAAAGGCAACAGTCACAATTATGAGAATGTGTTATCGTGTTTTTGTGCTTCTCAAAAAGGCGTGTCTGCGAAAATGAAACCGAGGCTTGAAGCTCACATCTAAATTTAATCTTTGTTCTAT